TCAGGACTAACTGCAAAAGTTGTGATCGCAGAGGAAAGACTAACAACCGCAGATCATGATATCCGGGGCCTGTAAAAATAGGGAGATAGATCGGGCGCAATGTGTGCAAGTAGGTGAGAGTGGTAAAATAACTTTTAATAGGCAGTTGATAGGATGGTAACGCTTGCTTTAGAAATCGTATTTAACTGATGCCTTACATTTTTTGATTCCACAGAATTAAATCCATTTTCAACAACCCACAAAACGGGACACAAGACAAAAAGAAAAAAGACGACATGGCGCACGTATCCCGTGGTAATTAACTATAAATATCACATAATACCGATTGTCCTGTATGACAACCAAATGGAGTTTTACACTTGGCTATGTCGAAAACAATTACACAATAAACAACACTCATAACTCCACTAATTTTAACATTTGCAAAAAAAGGCAAGGAATCCCCCCAAAAATCCAATTTTCGCCGAAATTTCCAAATCTCCAGAGAATGATGGCGTTTTTACCAATTAGGATGGACACATATTCCGGAAGAGCGCATGAGTCAGCCACAAAGAAACCAAAACTCAACAAAGAACCCAGAACTACACAAACTTTCATTTTTTCACCACAAACTACAACACATCACTCCTCAAAAATTCACATGACTCACCGACAGCCCCCCCCAATAACTTATCACTCATACAAACTTCCCTACATCACACCACCCCACTTTCAAATTATCGACCACACCAAAACCTTAACTTCCCGACACTCACAACTATTTATCACCAAATCAACAAACTATAGAACTACCCACACCACCAACAACACACATCCCATCAACAACCCATCACACACTCACATTCACCCTTCACCTTCATCCACCTCAAAAACACTCAATTCACAACTTCATGAATCACACAATACAAAACACACATCACTCACCACACACTTTCACTCACTCAAAGACTGTTCACCACTCACCGACCCAACCGAAACTTACGCCAAACACTTCACAACCCTTTTCACTCAACGACTTTCACACACACACATTCAACATCGAAAACACAAACCGACATTCAACACATTCAACAAACTTTCACCACCACCTCCACCGTCAACTTCAGAAACAGAACTACACACTTCACCCTATCACCGAACCCCCATGACAGGTCCACACACAGCTGTGAAATACTGACACCAAAGACGGTTATATGCAAGTCCCGAGGCGGGCAAGAATAAACTAGAAGAGGAGGAGAGAAGCCGGCCCTCTATTAACAAACGTGTTTACACTTTTACCACTCCACCTGGAAATCTTATCATCTAATTATATCGAACTCATAGCCAAAACTGACTCATCATACAAAACTCTAATGTCTACGAATCCCTCTTCTACGGCAACAAAATCTTTTTAGAATACAATACGAAACTCTCAATCTAGCTCGACATAAAAACGTGTCTACGAATCTTTCAAAATCTTCTATCTCTAATCTTAGCATAATTTATAACATGCCATCATTGGAACACCCACCTCCAGACCCACCCCTTGCCCACGGCCCCCAGATTGACCCGCCGTGACATGACTCTCCAGAACCACCCGGTATGAACCACAATCATCTTTTCTGCAATCCTTGGAACCGCGCCCGCCAAAGACACCGCGCACCCCTTAGTCTCAAAGGCTTACAAACACTCTACAACTAAACACGAAACACACGCCACGACACCCCTACTTAAACACAAAACACCGAAACTAACATTGCAAACACATCATTCTCAACAGCATACAAGCTACTGAATCTAGCATCATTGTGAACCCAAAAATAACATCCCTCATGCGTTATGATACACAACACATTGCGTACCCGGGAACAAAACCGATGACCCCAATCGCAAAAGAATCTTATAGCGAACATTGACAAATTACCCATCCCGCCCCATTACCATAGAGCCACCACCACCGGACCACATCCAACATAGTGTTCGACTCAAACCATCCAATGTCCCAAAATTATGCAAGAACACAATTGTGACAACTTCTGAAACAAAATCAGAAGCACCATCCATAAACTAAACTACAAACGACATCTACGTATCGACTACTAAACTACACTACAATTACGAGCGATAGTACTAAATGTAATTGCGCTCTACTATACCTCTACATCATAGCGATAATCGAACTCCTTCGGAGCTCTACTAATACAGTGCATCAACATATTGATCACATGTACCCAAGCGGCACGCCGGACACGAAAACCCCACACAAACCCGAAAAAAAAAATCTTATTTCTTAACTTGTCTTTCCTTTGACAAATCATTGACCTAGAAACCTAGAAACGAAATGCACAAAATTATTTCTTTACTTCGAAAACTAAGCATCAAATGACCCCAAAGAATCATATATGACACAACCACATGGATGACTAAGCAGACAACAACAAAACAACCATCAAATCAGAAACCTGCAGCCAATGCGAAATGACCCGCACACTGATGAAACGCAGACTGAAAAAACCAAACCACACAGTTGAACACGAGACCACCCGGACATCAAAAAAATCGACCAAATGACAATGCGAAAACATTGACCTCACGCGCAGAAAATGAACTAACGCCCCCCAGCACACCCACACAAACGGGCAACCCACAATTCACTATATCTTTCAAAAATTGCGATCACAATGACAATAGACCTATTGGGACCCCACCATAGACACACTGACTCCAACCAAACCACCGCCCGACCGCCCGACCTCGAAAATTACCGACACACTCCGGCCACAACGAAACACAAAAACTCAACGTAAGCTAAACTCAAAAACGCAGAGACAAAATCACTCAAGAAACCAAAACAAAAAACAACCTTCAATCACATGAACATCAAAAAAAGGATCACAAAAACAAAATAAAACAAACTGACTAAGCACCAATGATCAACCACAATACACGCCACCAAAACAAAAAAAAAAAAACACGCAAACAACAACATAAACTGACAGCTGTGGGGAACTCAAACACACCTAACCGCTCATCTCAAAACGACAGCAAACAGCTAATCAAAAAAAACTCAAACCACGAAACTCAACACTCGATCATAAGACGCCAACTTTGTGACCCGCCCCCACCCCGGGCCCCGAGAAGACCGGTGCAACTCCCGCCCTGCCCCCCCCCCCCCCGCCCCCCCTCCCCGCCCCCCCCCCCACCACCCCACCCCCACCCCCGCCCTCCCCCACCACCCCCCCCACCCCACCCCCACCCCACTCTCCCCCCCCCCCCCCCCCCCCCCACCACCCCACCCCCCTGCCTCCAGCCCCCGACCACCCCCGCCCCCCCCACCGCCCGCCCCATCCGCCCATCCCAATCCCAAGTCCCCCCACCATAGCCAACTCCGGCGGCCCCCAAAGCCACCACAACAAGGCCCACGATATTGAATCATCATGCATCATTGCCCCGGTCAACGCCACAAAAAACAAACGAACTTGCTTCACCTGGTTAACTTGACTTACTAATGCTGCTAGTGCTGAACTTGCTTAAATACGGCGACATTTTGCTTGTTGTGCTATGCTTTGCTGCCGTATCAGAACAAATCCATGTAATTAATATTCGGCTTTGAATCGGCCGCGGTCCAAACCTAAAACCAAATACCAAAAAACAAACACAAAAAAAAACGAAGAATTTTGGTGGGCCTGTCCCAAAAAAAGAACACTAACCGACTTTGCGATAACGACTTCAGACTACTACTGCGCAAACATAGAATATGCAAATCGTCTATACGATGGCCTAACCGACATGCAATCTACTGTTCAAACTAAACAACGGAAGAGCTACGGAAAGTAGTCTACCTAGGACGTGTGTTCGCGTGGGTGGTTAATTTTCCCCCCCCTTCTATATTTATTTTTTGTTTCGTATATTTTAATTTTCTTATTTAATTCATCTTCCCCATCCCCCCCATCTCTCTTTATATTCTCTTTCCTCACATAATTTTATCATTGTCCCCCCTTTTTATTTTTCCTTTTTACATATTCCTATCCTTATTTATTTTTTTTTCGCCCCTCCCTCCCCCTTTATTTCGCTTTCCTTATCCCCCTTTATTTTTTTCCCCCCGCCTTTCCCCCCCCCCTCCCCCCCCTCACAGTTTTTTTTCCCGCCTCCCCCCCCCCCCTTTTTTTTATTTTTTTATATTTTTTTTCCCCCTTTTTTAATCCCTTCCTTATCTTTCCACCGCGATTTTCCGTTCCCCAGTCCCGTTCGCCACCCATCCCTCCTTCCTTCCTTTTTTCCTCTTTCTCCTTTTCCTTTTTTTTTCCTTTTCCTTTTCCCCTTTTTTTTTTTTTTTTTCCCCCCCCTCGTCTGTTCTTCTTTTCTTCTTTTTTTTTTTTTTTCTCTTTTTCTTTCATTCTTTCTTATTCTTTTTTTCTTTTTTTTATTTCTTTTTTCTTTTCTTTTTTATTTCTTTCTTTTTTTTCTTTTTCTCTTTTTTTTTTTTTTTCTCTTTTCTTTTTTCTTTTTCTTCTTTTTTTTCTTTTTCTTTATTTCTTTTTTTTTCTTTTTCATCTTTTCTTCTTTTTTTTCTTCTTCTCTTTCTCATTCTTTTTTCTTTTTTCTTCTTTTTCTTCTCTTTTTCTTTTTCTTCTTTTTTTTTCTTTTTTTTTTTTCTTTTTCTTTTTTTTTTTTCTTCTTCTTCTTTTTTTTTTTTTTTTTTTTTTTTTTTTTTTTTTTTTACTTTTTTTCTTTTTTCCCTTTTCCTTCGCCCTCGAGCTTCGCGCGGCGGGGACGCCCGGGCCACGCGCGGGCCGCGTCCCCGCCCGTCGTTTCCCGGTTCGCGGGGCGCTAGGGGCGGCGTCGCCGCCCCGGGCCTACCGGGGTCGCCCGCGGGTATCGCCGCGCGCCCGGGGGCCGCGGTTCCCCAGTCGCCGGGCGGCCGCGCGTCGGCGGGGCTTCGGGGGACGCCCTCCGCGGTCCGTCCCGGGGGCCCAGATTTTTCGGCCCCGGAGGCATCCCACTCATTTTTTTTCCGGCCGGCACTATTCCCCCCGCGCCGGGCAGCTTCAGCGGTATCGCCGGGTGCGTTCGGGCGGGCGGCCCGATCGGATATCGCAAAACCCGCTAAATAACACAAACAGGCCCGCGTCCCGCGCCGTTTTTTCGGCGTCGGCGGGCGTTCCGTCGTCCCGCGCCTAGGCGGGGCGGTCCCGGGGGCCGTGCGGCGGCGGCCCCCGCCGCCGTTCCGGAGCGGTCGTGTCCGCGGTTTCGTCGTCACCGCCGGGGGCCCGTATCTTTCGTGCGGCCCGGCCATAATCTCGCGTTCGGCGCGCCCGAGTCTCGCCACGCCGGTCGTCGAGCCGGTACGGTTCGCACGTCCCGCCCTCCGTTCCGCCCGGCGTCGGGGTTCTCCGACCGCCGGGGTCGGCGGGTTCCGCCGGCCCCCCTGGCAAGCGTTCTCCCTATAAAAAGCCACAAATGTCCGCTTAACAACACAGCAACGTGGCGGATGTGACTCGCCACAAAATAAAGTCACAGCTAAGCATTTCACACTGACGCAGTCCTCAGCCTTCTACATCGAACCTGTGCAACTAATTCTGCTATGAAGAATGCTTTGTTGGAGCACAGATCATCCCTATCTCGTAATGGTTATTGGTTGCAACAAAACCTTGTTTAGGCTCCTGTGCTCACGGATCACTACCTGGCGAAATTACCCCCAACTTGTGTTTTGACGGATTTTTGCGCGCCACAGCGCCATAATGTCCCTGGGTCTGACTATTACCTGACAGTAAATAAATAAATAAATAAATAAATTGTGTATTCTCGACTAAGCGAGGCACGCCTGCGCAGGCATGATCATGTTAAGAGTACAAAATGTGATCAGTTAATGTACAATGGAACAATGGGATTGTTGCACATGTTTATGTATGAACGTAAGTTTGCATGTAGGCGTGTTTAGATTTGTTTATGAGATTGGTAAATGTTTCCTGTCGTTTTGCTTGAATGTGTTTGAAGGTGTCGCCAGTGCTAAATGGATGCTTGATATCTGTGGACTTGAAGCGATTGTCCGGATAAGCAATGGGTGACTTTAGTTAGTGGCGAGTCACAACCGCCACGTCACAGTGTTGTTAAACGGACTTT